TTTTAGGTAAAGCATAAAACTTGTACTATTATTTCATCATGTCAAATTAACGAATGAAAGGATCCCATCATAAAGTACGTCATTATAAAATGACATACAATAAATTTTAAACTTGAAAATAGATGCAATCATTTGATTATTTATTTAAGTGATTCATTTATAAATACCTTTTTTTTTTTAAAAAAAAAAAAAAACAAAAAAATTGCACATCAACGTTTATTCGATTTTAGGAATTATTTCATGCCTCGTCAACGTATCGACTTCACACCTGTACACAGGAGTGAATGTAATAAACGTTCTAATGGCATCTTATCTCACGATCTTGAGTGTTCTCATACCAATCAGTCTGAGCAAAAATATTTAATGAGAGGTAGAAGTCGTGATCGTTACTGTTGGAATTATGATTCAAGTAGTAGCAGTAGAAGTTCGTCAAGAGATGACCTTGATCAAAGTCATTATTCTTCAATATATCAAAGTCAACGTTCTCACAGTAAAAACAGAAGGCGCGAAAGATCTCCTGATGACCATATTAAACCAAGGTACATTTCATTCATTCATTTCTTAATTCTATATTTTCTCGAATACCAAAATTCGTTCTTTCAATTGTTATAGAAGGCATCACCTCTATGAACGTCGAAGAAATCACGAATCTTACTCGCATCACCCTGTTTGCACAACGCTTGAACCACCTTACGTACAAAACCTAATGAAACAAATTAACAATTTAAGTCTCCAACTGGAAATAATGCAAACTAAAATATCAGGTGCACCGCCAATTCAAACTTCTCCACCTCTTGCATCTACCAATGTACAGAATGAAAATGAAAATCAACAAAATGCAACTATGCTACTACTTGAAGCTCCCTCTCATTTAGAAACATCACCAGAAATTCATGAATCTTTAATTCCGTCTCCTAAAAATCTGGAACCCTTTCCATCATCTTTCAATAAAACAAGAAAAATGCCTTCCCAAATAAACAATGAAGTCGGGCAAGTCAATCAATCCACACAATCGCCTCTTGAACCCATGAATTCCGTTTTTAAGCAAACTTTTCATGATGAAATTGTTAAAATTTTGGATCATTTACCAACTGAGCAACAATTTGACGTTACTAAAAATTTTACCCAACAATTAAATCATGTAACTTATGTTACTGTTCCTGCCGTTAAAGCTTTAATTAGTCCTAGATTAGTGTTCACTGATAATGAACTAATCGCAATAATAAGACAACTCCATAAAAGTCGTAGGGGAAAGTGGAAAAGTCGTGAGAAATTAGAATCACATAGGGCACGTCGTCGTATCAGTTCACGGACCAAACGAGTAAATATTCCCACTTTTTATTTTAACAATTTTTTTGTTTTTATTTACACTAATTTCTGTTTAATTACTTTTAAAAAAAAAGAAAATATTTAGTCGAATTCGTGGATTACAACATATGGTTCGTGTAGGTGATTCAATTCTTAATGAATGTCAACCACCTACACTCAATTGGGATGAATATCTTCGTGATTTGGAACGCGCTGTAAATGATCCCGCATTGCAATCATGTGAAGAATCTGATACTGATGAAGCTTTGGCAAATCAAGAAAGTGATGAACGCCCAACGATTATTCGGAATAACAATAGAGTTATAAAGGTTTATGATAAACCATGGAGATCTACCAGAGTATGTTCCTGCTTATATATGTTGTAAGTGAGAATGGAATTTAACGTTAAGTGGATTTGGAATTCCTAGATAAATTGGGGTTAGAGTTAGGGTTAGGGTGTACATATGATAAAATCAATCCAAAACGGGTTTTATATATAAATTCAACCCAAAACGGGTTTTATATATAAATTCCGAATCCGCTTAAATTCCGTTTCCACTTACAATATCTCTTTAATTATACTAAATTATATTAAATATACTAAATCATACTAAATCATACTAAATCATTCATCATTTGGAAATTAGATCAAGTGTCTTCTACGTCGTTGCGACGAAGTTGGCGGATCCGTTTACGGATTAATCAGAAAAAGATGGTACAATGATCAATTATATGTAAATAGCAATAGCTGTCCAAACGAACATATTCCCGATTGGTGGATTTCCACAAATTGGTCTTCTAATATCGAATCTAATGAAGATCATAATGAAGTAGAACGAGAAAACGATAAAGAGAATGATGATGATGATAATGAAAATGTTGCTTAACATTTAGCTTTAAAATCTGGTTTGCTTAATATATGTAATAATTTTTGCTCTCTATGCAAGTCAATTCCTCATTAAATCATATATATCTTTTTTTTTTTGTTATACGAATTGCTTGTCTATTTTTTTTCACATGTAAAGTAAAAATTTTATAATTCGAAATTATATATGTAATTATATATGCAATTATCAATAAATATATAATTGATGTATATTCACATAATTGGACTGGAACTGAGAGAAACTTAGGGTTTATAAATTCAGAAAATGAATTGCTTAAATATTTATCTTTTGTTGCAAAAAGTTTCATCAACACATGTTTCGACTGAATTAAAATTAAATAATGTAAATCGATAAGTAATTGTTCGAAAAAAAAGGAAATAATCATAAAAGATTAGTTCAATGACATCTAAAGAGTATTAATATTATATGGTTATTGAAGTATACCTGTAACATACAACGTATAGTATTGGCATATAATTTGAAGAGTGCGTGACCAAATAATCACTTCTGAGTATTATTGTTTATAGTAATTGCGTCAAACCATAATGTCGCTATGCAATTGATTAGAGATGTTATCTTTCCAGAACTCGATTCGCCTCTGCTTGAAACCCAAACTGATTAAAGATCGAAATTTTAATTACGGCATAAGAGAAGGTATTATGACGCAAGGTCGAAATCAACCGATTTTTAACACCAATGGATTCGCCTTATCAAAGCGAAACAAATGGTATAGAAATCGCTTATTTGGACTACTGAGCCACAAGATGAGTAACGACAATAGAAAACTTGCAAAATTATTAATGTGAATTTATTTGGACCATATATATTAGATAACGTGCATAAAGTATGAACAGCCTATTTAATGATAACTGAAAACGAAAAACTTCCTTATCTCATAAATTAGTAACCACAGCATTTATTCTATGTCAAGCTATGTTTTTCCAATACACTAAATCAATCTGGACTGCAAGGAAGATTGAAAATTATTTAAATAAATGCATTGATTAAGACATGATATTAGATTGCTACAAAAATTAGGTTTTAATCGTTAATAAGTAATAATCCCGTAATTGGGGCACTATTGTGTATTTGGAGAATTTTAGTTATTACTTATATTGTAGAAAATTATATGACTAATTGGAAGGAAGTAACATGCTGTATTCCACTATGATATTGCACGATACGCACAATAATTAATTACTATAGGAGAAAATACAAAATGTTTTTTACTGGTTACATAACTATTGATCTTGAGTGTGCACAATAAAAAGATACATATCTGTAAATATAACAGCAAATATAACAAATAATTTTGAACATAAAGCATTTATTTATATGCAAAAATCCGCTGAAATGGGACTCGCTGATGGAATACATTATGTTGGTCATCATTATCGAAATGGAATTGGAGTAACAAGAGATTTACAAAAGGCTAATGAATGGTACCAAATGTAAGTTATTTTTATGCAGTCATGATAAAATTATACATTTCTTTTTTAATAGTAATTAAAATAAATTATTAGAGAACGGAAACAAATATCAGGTAATTAATTATTATTGATTACATTTATTTGTCAGACAATTCAAACAAACTAATAATAATTAACATTTGTTAGTAACAAGTAGACGAATAATTGATAATTTAGATATTGATGAAAATTTAAAAGAAATATTGGTTGAAAGCAAATACTCGTTATCTTGGATTTCTTATAATGAATTCGAAAATATTCAAGTTATAGGAAAAGGTGGATTTGCAACTGTATATTATGCTGAGTGGAGATATAAAGACATTAATCGCGTTGTTGCACTTAAATTGCTTAATAATTCAAAAGAGTATAATGAGGAATTTGTGAAAGAGGTAATTTTATTTATGTGCTAATATGCTTAAGTTCTGATGACTTGTATTTAACTTCTTATCTTTGATGTAAAAGTTAAAAGCATATTGTGATATTTGCAATAAAAATCCAACATTTTTAAGGTGCTATGGAATTTCAAAAGATAATGTTTCAAAAAATTATACTCTTTTGATGCAATACGCATCTAAAGGTTCTTTGCGTAGCAATCTTCATTCTATAGCACAAATGGAATGGAAAAAAAAAATATTATTATTGGATTGTATTGCTTATGATCTTCAACTAATTCATTCTCAAGAACTTATTCACCGAGATTTACATAGTGGAAATATTTTACAAGATGAATTATATAGTGCATACATTGCAGACTTGGGACTTTCAATGTCAACAAGCATAGCATTAAAGTCAGAACGTTGTGGAGTTTATGGGA